AGACGAAAATTGTAGCGGTAATAGTCCAATCCATATTAAAGGATAATAATCCGACTACTAGTGTATAGTTGGTAGGCCGTCGTTTCCTTGGGTGAGATATATCTGAGTAATAAGCTAGCAACCTGGGACAGGGCCTTCCCTTCCAGTTGCCAGCAGGGCACTCTGGGACTTTGGGCTTCCCCTCGCAGCCCCCGGCTTTTTTCTTAAGAGCTCGGTCTGGGGGCGGAGCCGGGAGTGGGGCTCCGGTCTTAAGTGGAGCTGGGGACCGGCGGGGGAGCTCCATCAGGGGGCCCTGGAAGCCTCCAGGGGGTTCCTGTGTGGGGAAAGCCTTCCAGAGGGTACTCTGCACCCCCACATGCACATGCATGAGAGAATACCCTGAGACACCCCCCCTTGGGAACCTGATGACAGAGGGAACCCCTATCTTGCTCCCCCTCCCCTTCCAGGTGCTGATCGTGGCCATGGCAACGGATGGAGGGACTGGAAGCCCGAAACAGCAGAGGGCTCCCCAAACACACCCAAATACTGGAGGTCGGATAAGGGGCAGAAGGAGCCCCACCCAGTCTGAGTTGGATGGCAGAGGCCGCGCCCCCACATTCACAGAGAGCCCCAGAGGGTGGGGGAGGGGTGCAGGCGCAAAGAGGCTGCCCCCCTTGGTTGGGGTCTGGGGGGGTGAATGGGGACACGGTGGCAGAGGCCCCCACCTTAGGCACAACCCTGAGGAAGGGGCGGAGAGCGCAGGCCCAGATTGGAAACAGATGGGGCCACCGTGCCAGGCCGGAGACACCCGATCCGCAGGGAGGGGTGGGTGGGAAGGAGGGGGGAGAGGGAGGGGCGGCCCCGCCCAGGCAGCCAATCCCGGCCGTGCTGCTGCCCCGGTGCGGGTTTGAAAACTCCAGGGCTGAGACAGGGAACGCAGAGGCCCCTGGGGTTCTGGGAGCTTGGAGAGGCGTTTGGGGAGGGGCGGAGACCCTAACGGAGAGCCGAGGGCCACCGCAGGGGGCTGGCTCCCCATCCGCTCCCACCCCTGGCCCCGTCCCACCATTAGCGCTCGGGAGGACTCCCCTAGCCAACAGGTATGGAGCTCCCGGTGTGTACCAAGCGCTGTGCCCGCTCACCTCACCCAACATCACCCCCATTTCCAAAGGGGTTGGCGGAGGAATAGAGAGGTTCATTGTCCAAGGTCAAAAAGAGCAGGGACTGGAACCAAGGTTTGGGTCCAGAGGATGAGCCCTTACCCACAATGCTGCAGGAGGCCTGGAGTGGCGCGGGGTTGGGGGAGGAGAAATGGACAAGTTGCTACAAATTTAAAGCGTCCAGGGACACAGCGGTGTTGGACAGAGGCCCCACCCTCAGGAAGCGCACTGCACAGTGGGGCAAAGGACGGGCTTGCCGGGCGGGCAGGCAGCTGTGGGAGCTCAGAGGAGGCCCTGATAAGGGTTCAGAAACAATTCTATCCATGCCCTGCTATGGCTGCCTCAGAGGGTCCATTCCCCACCTCTCCCGGGCAATCTGCCCCTTTCCCAACCTGTACCTCAGTTCTCCCCTCTGCAAAACAGAGTGTATGATGCCACCTCCCCTACCACTGGGAAGGCCTGCCCTGGAGTTCCCAAAGCCCCGAGCGCACAGTAGGTTCTCTGTGAATGGATGTGAACCATACAGAACACATAGTAGGTGCTGCTAAACACAAGATACTCCAATATCTCCCCTCTCCACAGCCCAACTATGAAATGCACACAGTAGGTACTTTACAGGGTGCTACACTTGGCACCCCAGCACCACATGGCGCACACAGGAGGTGCTCTGTGTCAACATGGATGTGAAATGAAGCAGTGTAACCTCCTCCTGCTTGGCAGGGTACACAGTGGGCCCTCAGGAAATGCCACCAGGAGCACAGTGGGTGCTTTGCTTGCATTTGCAGGCTGATGGCCCAGGCACAGGGCTCATTCATTCACTCAGGAATGAATCCAAGCTCGCCCATGTGACCTCAAGGAAGAACCTGTTTTCCCAACTTTATTAAGAACCAGGCCCACAACAGACGCTCAATGAATCGAGATGTCAGGGCGCCTGGGGCAGAAGTGCCGGTCTCTGGGTTGTCCAGGCCCCAGGGGATGGTGGCTGAAGACCTGCCACGCCCTCTCCAGCCAGTCCTGCCCTCTCTGGGCCTCTTGCCCATGTCTCCTTGGAGATGACCTCTTGCCTCCAAGCATGGCAGTGACCACATGGGCTGGGAACACAGCCACCTTGGAGGTAAGGGTGGGAGAGATCTGGGCGAGGAACGAGGCCTGCATCTGGTCGACCCTAGCTGGGTGACTCCATCCACACAGCAACCTGAATGTCCCCAATCACAGCTCTAATCACCCCATTCTTTAACTGCCTGGTCCCAGGCCTGCCTCTGCCACAAACCGACCTCCGAGGGCAGGGCAGGGCGGGGTCTCTGTCTTGATCAGAGCTCACCCCCTGTACTGGGTCCCAGCACCCAGCAGAGGGCATGCGTGGAGCACAGCGGGTTCTCAGCAAACCTTCACATGAACAGCCAGGACCTCCTCACCAACCTTATTCCCCTCAGGGGCCACAGCGCACGGCACCCTCGTCACAAAGCAGGCATCTTCACCCACTTTTTTTTTCACCCACCCCTTTAAAATAACAATTTCTGAGCACCTACTGTAATAAGCCATGACTGGTTTGAGGCACTAGGGGCATAGCAGTGACTAAGTCTGACAAAGATCCCTGCCCTCATGGGGCTGATGTTCTAGCGAGGGCAATGGAAGGGAAACAGAAGAAATAAAATACACCAAGGATCAGTTAGCAATAAGTGCTATGAAGATGGACAAACGGGGAGGGGGGTGCGGGGAGCGGGGATGGGGGGGTGGGGAGGGGATTTCAGTCTTAAACAAGGTCAGGGAGTAAGGAAGTGACATTTTACCAAAGACCTGAAGGAAGTGAGAGAATGTGAAAGAGGTATGGATGCTTGGAGGAAGTGCGATAGGGGAGGGCATAGCACATGCAAAGGTCCTGGGACAGGACCATGCTTGGATGGTGGAGGAACAGGGAGGAGGCCTGTGTGGCTGGAGCAGAGTGAGTGAGGGGGG